TTGGTCACTAATTCTTATCCTTCTACATCACATAAAAACCAGTCTACCAGGGTCTACGTTAATTAATCTAGAAAGGCAGAACGAGGTTGTTGAGAAGGCAGGCATCAAGAATCATGAGTTCTAATCCAGCTGTACAACTAACAAATTTACAATATGAACAGGGCACAGCCATTCTTGGTATTTGTTTCCTTATACATTAAGCAACAAGGAAATAACAAGATTATTTCTAAGGGATTTTACAAGTATAATGATCTGAGTTTCTGAGCAACTTATTTGCACTAAAATATATTATAATCTAATACCATTGATAACATTTATTCCCTGATAACACCATTTGGCCCTTAATCTAAAGGAATTATGTGTCATTTAGGAGCCTATGTGGAAACCTAGACTAGATAAGCCTAGAATAACTGATAGGCATAGCCAACTCTCGGTTATCCAACAAAGTGTTTAAGCAATTTATCAGCAAGCTGGGTCAGGATTATGTTCATGTAAACCTCACAGAGAAAGACTTTCATATAGACTTGGGTATAGGCCATTGTGCAGTGATTATGCACAGATAACTATATTCCTCCCCAGGGCAGGCATTTCTTCCATTTGCAGTCTTGCAAGGGTCATAATTTAGCAACTATCACAGGGGATAGAGCACATATCATGAGCAAATTCATGTATGCAGTGCAAGCCAAGATTCTCTCTTAAAGAGGATTTGTAATCAACCATAAAATTGGACATACCAAAAATGCTATCAATTTTGATATCTCATAATGGGTGGGGATAGAAAAACAACTCAATAATCAGAATGCAGCCATGTTTAACTCACCAGCCACTGAGTTGCTAAATTTCCATTAAATTAACTAACTTTAAAGCTCCCTAGGCTTACTACTGCATGGGACTGCTAACAAAACAAATATGTATCTGGTTATTTAGTGAACTATTTTCTTCCCAGCTTTCTGAATAAAAATATATCCCTTTACTATATGGCATCATTACAGAAGTTTCCATTTTTATAGTTTTATGCCATTTTAGTATTTTATTTATGCATTTGGAAGTGGTAATAAAATTATTTGGATCCTCCTTTCCATATTGATTTCTATGAGTATCCTTTTTTAAAAAAAATAGCAGGAAAAGATAGAAATATTTTCAGGATAGGGATGTCTATTCTTAGTATATTTTAATGTATTTTAGAGAATGCTCATATCCCTCTGCCTTCTTTGCCAGCCCTTACCTCCTTAATTACATCCAGCTTTAACCAGATAGATGCTTGTTGAAAAGTCTTATTAAATTAATCCATGTCGATGACTTCCTCAAGTTTCAATCTAAAAAACAAAACTCTAAAAGCCAGAGGCAAGGAAACAGGGCACGGATGGAGCTCAGAGGGAAGGGGGAAGGGATGCTGTCAGAAATTAACCAAAGAACTTACATGCATATATGCATGATCTGTGGACATACTTGTATTAAGAAAGAAATATAGACTCAGTCCAAAGTAGGAATAAATTATAAACTTTCAGGGCTAAAGGAATTCCTATTAACAAGTGTTTGTATGTCAATGTGGATACCCTGCATGGAACAAGAACTCCATGGGAAAGCAGTCTGTTTTTTTGTTCTTATCTTAAAAGAGAAAGTAAGAAGAGATAAAACTGCCTTATTCTTATTAAGAAGTTATCCCAAGGGACTAAAAGCACTCCAGTGATCAATAATAGGTTAAGGAGACTAGCATAAGCACTCAAAATATCCTTAAGAGAGACAAAGAGAGACCCTGAACAATTTTTGAGATAAGGGTTAAGAATTTTTTTGGAAAACAATTAAAAACAAATTTAAGGAATGTTTGAAATAATACATTCTACAAACATTCTTCTATTTCTACAGATCTCTCTGTAAGCAGTACCTCTTATTTTCCATTATACTGTTCAATTGTGTAATTTATATTATTTTAACTAAGCACTGTTAGTAGTATAAATGAAGAAGTATGACACTGCCTGGATCTGAGGCAATGGTTCTGTGCACTGATGAAGAGAACAAAGTAAAAGGTAGATTAAACCAGGAGACCTGTTAACTCTGCGAAGCCGGAAAGAATCCGAGTCATTGTTGAAACCAGAGATAGAGCTTCAAGGCAAAAATGTTTTATTCAAAGACCATGGATTCTGCTGTTCATAAGCTAACTGTGCTTGGGGACAGCAGAGCAGGGATGGGAGAGGGTAAGCCTGAAGTGCTGCAGGGATGGGATCGCACACCAGCCATGTGTGGCTCAGCTGTTCACTGTGGTGAGAGCCTAATGGTCCCACAGCCCTCTTGTGGCAACTCTAAACTGCAGGCATAGGGCCTACACTGGGATAATGGGCCTCTCCAGGTCTGGCCTAGAATTTCCAACCCTATTAAATGAAAACTAATAGAACAAAAGCCAGAAAGTATTCTGGGCCTAGAGAATAGTGAACCATTGTTAGGGAAACATATAAACACCTAAGTTTTAATATTAAAAAATAAATGAGAGAAGGGAATGGATAACCAAATCACACAGTTTCCCTTTTAAAGGAGAATTCCATACATGAACAAGTCACGTGGAGGCAAATTACAAAGAAGTTACATGCACACTGAAAATAGAGTTTGTATTGTACAAAGTTTCTTTTGTCCTTTATGTTCTTTTAAAGAACTATAACTAGTAAAAATATATAAATGCTTAATAAACACCTCTGAGTGACCAAGTCAATGATTGAGTGAATAATGAAAAGAATGATTAGTCAATGAACAAGGCTATTTTTCTAAGCTTCAGCCAGGGATAAAAATTCATCCTGCCTATCAGTTATTTATAACCCTTGCTCTCTGTGTAACCCAGATTTGGCGAAGGAGCGGTTATATAAGTTGCCCCCAGGGCTCACAAAATGGTCATTTCTTAAACTCTTAATATCTGCCTGTTTCCTGACTAATGATTGAAGCAGTGTTCGTAAGGGTCTCTGAATGCCTCATTGCTAAATTCAAACCTTTTTTTTATCTCAGTCCACATCCACCTTGCTGAAGCAGATGACAGAATGGAACACAACCTCTTAAATCTCCTGATCTAATCTGTACAATAATAGTAGGAATATGAATCACAAGATACAACTGAAGTGGGTTTGAAATGCACTCAGTATGAGATCCATATTTAGTTTCCCCTTTACTTGGGTTAAAATGTAAGCTCAACCTGTTTAGAGCGACCTTCTCTGCCACTTCAGTGCCACTCTCAGGTGTGCTGACCATCTTTCAGCCCTATTTGTCTCATCAGATAGAAGTTTCTTCTCTGAGCAAAAGCAAGCAAATCAGGCCTTCGTACTTCTTTCCTGTAAATTGGTGGTTATATAATCTGTCCTTGGGAATAGCTGAGAGGGAAGGGCACTGTCTCCTTTAAAATGTCTGCTTACAACTCTCCTTGCCTTGCTTCTGCCTAATTCCAACACAGAGAAGCTTTAGCATGTCTGGGAAAAGTCTCTCTGTGTTTTTACTACTAGTAAAGATAGTTTCTCCAACTATTATCTATGCCATTGTGTTCAAGTGATTACTTTGAAACTCAAAAGCCAAGAATTAATTTTATTTTTTGCATTTTGTTATAACTACTTTATAGGGATGTGTGCATCTTTGATTATATTCTTCATACATTCCACTGATAATAAAATTATTTATTATAAAATATTTGACATATAATAAGAGTGACCTCCAAAAAATTATGCCAATTTTTGAAATTATTGCTAGTGTATGAGAATCCCATTTTCCTACATTCTTGTTAATACACTACATTTGAAATATATATTTATGGTTTTTAAATTAAAAATGAAATATTTTGTGTATAATCTATATTTGTTTGATTACTAGGGAATTTGAACATTGTTCCATAAATTTATGGTACATCTGAATTTTTAAATTATTAGTTGTCATCAATTAATTTGCCCATTTTGCTAGATCTTTATTGACTTGTAAGAGAGTTTTTCATTTGAAGAATACTAACTAATTGACTGTTGCATATGGAAAATATGTTTCTGGTTTATTTTTTACCTTTTTATGGTGTGTGAGAAATTGAAACTTACAATTTTAAAATCTGATTTTGTGAATTTTTTATCTTTGGTATTTTTATTTAAGAATTATTTTTTTCACGCAAGATGATAACTGTTCCCTTATGTTACATTTTAGTTGTTTTATGGTTTTATTTTTACATTTAAAATTTAATCAATTTGTTATATTTAGCATTGACTGTGAGCTTGGGGTCATTTAATTATTACTTGTTCCAGCATCATTATTTAATAATCCTTTTCCCCTTTGATCTAAATTCCATGTTTTTCATATAATAAAATTGACAGAGTCTGCTTCTAGACTCTGTTCTGCCTCTCAATACACCAATAACACTCGACTTCACCCATGTGAATAAATACTTAATAAATACTGATATCTGGTAGGAAAGCCATCCTTTATTACTATTTCTTAATTTTTCAAAATTTTCCTGACTAGTACAGTTACTCTTCCAAATAAAATTTAGAAATGCCATTCTAAATGTTAGCATTATATTTTAGGTCATTATTTCTCACCCTCTTCACTTGAAGCCCCACCCAATCTATTCTGTTCCCTAGTGCCGTGGTCGGCAAACTGCGGCTCATGAGCCACTTGCGGTTCTTTGGCCCCTTGAGTGGCTCTTCCATAAAATACCACGGCTTGGGTGAGTCTATTTTGAAGAAGTGGCATTAGGAGAAGTTTAAGTTTAAAAAATTTGTCTCTTTCAAAAGAAATTTAAGTCGTTGTACTGTTGATATTTGGCTCAGTTGACTAATGAGTTTGCCGACCACGGACCTAGTGAATCTTAACCTGATTATAGTTCAACTGAAAAGTACTAAATAATAATGATGATGGCAATAAATCCTATTTGCCATGGCTTCTCAAAATTTCAAATGTTTATATTTTAATATGATACTAATTTCAGATTTGTCACTCAAGAAAATGAACATGGAAATTCTCCACTTTAAGAAATGTCACTGTCTTTTCAGAGTGTAGAAGGTGAACATCATGAGAAAGCTGTGGAACTACTCAAGGCTGCTAAGGACAGCGTCAAGCTGGTGGTGCGATATACCCCGAAGGTCCTGGAGGAAATGGAGGCTCGCTTTGAGAAGCTTCGGACAGCACGGCGTCGGCAGCAGCAGCAACTGCTAATTCAGCAGCAGCAACAGCAGCAGCAGCAACAAGCACAGCAAAACCACATGTCATAGGTGAGAAGAGCCTTCCTCTGTGCAGGGAAAGTCCATTGCATATTCCAGTGTTTGTTTGTTTGTTTGTTTAATGTATTTTGATTGATTTCAGAGAAGAAGGGAGAGGGAAAGAGAAATAGAAACATCAATGATGAGAGAGAAACATTGATCAGCTGCCTCCTGTGCATGCCCCTGCAGGGGATCTAGCCTACAACCTGGGCATGTGCCCTGACTAGGAATGGAAGAGAGATCTCCTGATTCATAGTCAATGCTCAACAACTGAGACACACCACCTGGGCTAGTGTGTGTGTGTGTGTGTGTGTGTGTGTGTGTGTGTGTGTGTGTGTTTTAATATGGTTTCTTAGCTGGGATAAAATTATTATATTTAATAATTAAAAATATAGTCAAGCAAATAACAATAATCTCAGAAAATGTAAACACAACAGATGCTGCTTAGTGTGTCATTCAGCCACATTCTTTGTAAATGCAAGGTATTTTGGAAAATAATATACTTTGGGAGGACCGGGTACAGGCACTTGATACCTTTTTACAAATTAGGAAAATTCAGCCTCTCTGCAAACCCAGATCCTCAGGCACAAAGCCAGATGACTATGGTGGAGGCTGAAATCCAGCTCCCGGCTTACTCCCATGGCCAGTAACAGACTAAGGCAAAGCGCACAGACTAAACAACCTTTAGTGCTGAGGCTAGGAAGACCCTCTTTGGAATATTGAAATACAACTGGTTAGGAAACTGTTTCACTGAAAAGAAAGAAGTAGAGACTTGCCATTGTCCATGCTAGGAAAGATTTTGAAAGTATCTTTAGATGTTCATTTAGAATGTGCCTAAGATGCATCTGCCTTTTCCTATATTCCACTTTGTGGCAAAGAATACTCATATTTTTCTATATAGCTTAAGAAAATTCAAGGAAAAAATCTTAAGAGTCTTTGAAGTATCTGCTATGTGCTAGGCCCTTCTCACATGTTATTCCTCACCCTCAAAAGAACTCTTTAATGTATCATGAAAGCCCACTTTTTTTAGATGAAGCTCCAGTAATTTCAGTGGAGTCCCCACAACCATAGTTACAAGTAGCACAGAATTGTTTTACTTTTTGCTCTACCAGGTATTTCATCTGCTAACATCAGGTATTCTGGAGTCATATAAATTTATCTTGCTATCTTTTGGAGGCCACAGCTTATATCGTTGGATATCCCTACACTATGACATCTGAAAATATTTGTTTGAAATGAGGTTCAAATGCTCTTAGAAAAATGACAAGGGGTACTGGTGATTTTAACTCTTTCAATGTCAGATTATTATTTGCACAATCAGAAACATTGGATATGACATGAGACTTTCAATTTTTTGTGACAATTATGAAAAGCAGAAGCTGCATGGAGAAGTCAAAAGTATGGGATTTTTCCTCAGAGAGTTGGGAATTCAACAATCTATCTTGTTTTTATAGCCTTTTAATCTTATATATATCTTATTTTGGTGTCTTTATCTAAACCTCCATTCCATTCTAAAAGCTACATTTATTCAACAATGAATTTTATTTAGCACTACGATGGGCAAGGTACTGTTCAATGGGCTGAAGAACCAGCACGAGCTAAGAAAAATTCTCGCTCTCTTGGTGCTTACATCCTGATTAGAAGAGATAGTTAATAAAAAAAAAGTAAACTAAAATATCCTAGAGGGGCCAGTATTTTGCAGAGTTAAAATTAGAAACTGGTTAGATCACGACTTTCAATTAGGTGATCAGGGAAAACTTCTCAAAGGAGGTGACATTAAACTTGAAATTGATTAGGAGAAGCCAGGAAAGAGCAGAAGAGAAGGAAAAAAACAGTGTAGTAGTTCTAAGGCTAACATGAGCTACTTGATATTTGAGAAACAGAAAGAAAGCCAGGATGGCAAGGGAATAATGAGAAGACAGTGAAACAGATGGGGGCCAGGTCACAGAAAGCTTTATAAATCACTGAGGGAAGTTAGATTTTATTGCAATTGAAGCCACTCAAGGTACTTAAGGAGGGGAGTGACATGATCTGATTTAGGTATTAAACATGATAACTCTGGCTGCTATCAAGAGAATAGATTATTGCAGGGTAAGAGTGAGAACAGAGACCAATTAGGAGGCTAATAGTTAGTCGTCTAGACAAGTGATGTGGTGGTTTGAAATAGGATGATATCACCAAGAGGGAATGCCATGGATGCACATGGACAAGTTATTTTGTCCATATCCTTCTCTCTCATCCATTCCGAATGTAAAGGTACTTTACATTCTTTTACATTTATACTTTCAAATCCTTTTAAACGTCTCTTTGCTAGTAACAATTCACTATTTTTTAGTCAAGCATTGACACTCATTTCACTAACTCATTTTCTTCCATCCTCATATTATAGACTTGTACCAATTCTTCTCATTGATATGCCACTGGCCCACAGTGCCGGAAGCCAGTTCCAGCATGTCGTAATTGCAAGAGTTTCATCGAAAGGTTGATGAAACTTGGGGACTCAACAAGGGCTGAGTCACATATGTTATCACCTGCTGGGAATGACTGAAAGGCATTTCCCCAAACTTGAAAGGGATGCATATATTGATTGCTTGCTGCCAGACAGCTAAGGCACCTTAATCTACATACTATTGCCTCCTACTGGCCAAACATCTGATTGGTTATTCCCCAATCTGACAATGGATTCTGTACCTAACCCTACCCTTTGATGTGTATATCTCCACCTTGCCTTAGGACAAATTGTGTCAATAAAAGCAAGGGATCCTGAGTCAAGGAGAACTTGATTTCTTCAGCATGCTTCTCTGCCCTCCCCCCCCCCCAATGACTTTCAAAATTATGTTTATGTTGGTCTCTGGATTCTTATTTAATTTATGCACAGTGCCTTCTCCAGGTTCATGAACCCTTCTAGATGCTGGATCAGGACCACCAGTGTTAACACAGTTAATTTTTTTCTGAAGTATTTTGAAAGAAATATGTTACCATTCTGACTTTTGATGTCTGACTAAAAACTTAAAGCATTATGCTCACTCAATCATCTTTGGAAGTATACAACTTGGCCATAAATATTTGCTGGGCCATAAACTCAACATCATTTCTCTGTTCTATCAGCCTTCATTAAACCACTTCAGAATTTCCTACTGCCTCACCACCAAAGACTAACATTTGTAATAAAAGGCAATTACAAACGATGTTTTTTCTTTGCACATGATGTGGTAAAGCTCTATTCAAGTGAACATTACATTTATATAAAAATATATACTCGCCAAGACAACACTTTCAATCTTACACAGGCATGGACCCTTGACATAAAAATGTGGTGACCATTTCAAGCACAAGCAGAATAAAACTACCCAGTGTAATTCAGGGATTTTATGGTGAATTTATAGTCAGAGACCTACATTAGCTCTTACTCAACTTTTAATTAATTAAGATTTTTAAGGATTAAATGAGATTTGCTACACTTGCTAACTCATGCTATGGTGGCTTTTGCAAAGACATTTGAAGCTAATGTGACATATTTACTTTGAACAGATCTCTGATATTTTTTAAGTATGACAAATCAAGAAAAGATTAGCTAAAGCAAAAGACCTGTCAGATATTACCTTGCTGCTTATACCACAAAATATAATTTCTATTCTCTAGAAATAACTTTTTAAAAAATCTGAGATGCTATGAATTATGGAGTAATTAGCATGGTAACTGGTAAATACAAATGGAAAAATATGTTGCATGCAGATTGTATGGAGAGAATGTCCCTTATACCTATTTCTAATGTTAAACTCCATTTAAGTAAATGCAGTTGTTTTTTTCTCCAGCTTCCATGTTTGCTAATAAGAAAGAATAGATTACATTTTCTAAAATGTAGTAGATATGATCACTATACAATTATATCATAGAATCTTAAACAGAATGTATGATCCATGTATTCTTTTGAATTAGTGTGTTTAAAATCTATATTCACTTTTCAAAATTTTATTTTTTAATTACAGTTTACATTAAATGTTATTTTGTATTAGTTTCAAGTATATAGCATAGTGGTTAGACAATCATGTCCTTTATAAAATGGTCCCCCCAATAGTGCAAGTACCCACCTGGCACCATAGGTAATTGTTGCAACATCATTGACTATATTTCCTCTGCTGTACTTTACATCCCCATGATTGTTCTGTAACTACCAATGTGTATTCTTAATCCCTTCACTTTCCCCCACTCTTTCCCCCAACCCTCCTCCCCTCTGGTAACCATCAATCTGTTCTATGTTACTGAGTCTGTTTCTGTTTTGTTTGTTTACTTTGCTTTTTAGATTTCATATATAAGTGAAATCATATGGTATTTATTTTGGTCTGACTTATTTCACTTAGTAGAATACCCTGTAGGTCCATCCAAGCTGTCATAAATGGTAAAATTTCATTCTCTTTAATGGTCAAATAATAGTCTATTGTATCCAATAGTTTATTGATGGGCACTTGGGTTGCTTCCATTCATGGCTTTTGTAAATATTGCTGTAATAAACATAGAGATCCATATATTCTTTTGAATTAGTGTGTTTGAAATATTACATTAATTCAGCTTTAAACATCTTATTTTTTAAAGACTGACTTTATATACATCTATAAAATATGAAAATATATACTTTATATTTTACCTAGATTCCAAATAATAACAATAGAAAGAAAGAGGAGTACTTCTAGAGATGTCAGCATTATGAGGAAGTCTAGGCCACAAGCCTTTTTTATTTCTCTGACCTTCTATTGCTGGAACAAGGATGAAGAATTCATTTACATTCAAAATCAGGCAGGATCTTAGCAGATGTACAAAAAGCAGGAGGCATTTGCCAGAGGCCTCACCAACTCTTTCTGTGTCCTCCTGCTATTCAGGCTCTCATTTCCTTATTTTGTCCACTACTGAATGTTCTATACCTTCCAGCATTGGCCTCAGCCATGGCTGGTTGGCCTGATCCAGGGAACATGCCAGAGCTACCAGCCGCTCACTGGGAGGACCAGGTCTCAGAGGATGACCAATAAAACTAAATCCAAGGAACCCAAAGTAACCAAACCAAAAAACTGGACCAGAAATAACCATCATAATGCTGGATGCAAGAACTTCATATATGTCCTGGCCGGTTTTGCTCAGTGGTCAGAGTGTTGGCCTGGGAACTGAAGGGTCTTGGGTTGGATTCCAGTCAAGGGTACCTACCTCGGTTCAGGCTCAATCAGGGCCTGGGCAGGAGGTAACTGATCAATGTGTCTCTCTCATATCAATGCTTCTGTCTCCTCCTCCTCCCTTCCATTGTTTCTAAAAACCAATGGGATATATATCTTTGGGTGAAAATTAACCAGAAAGAGAGAGAGAGAGAGAGAGAGAGAGAGAGAGAGAGAGAGAGAGAGAGAGAGAGAGAGAGAAAGGAAGAGAAAGGAAGGAAGGAAGGAAGGAAGGAAGGAAGGAAGGAAGGAAGGAAGGAAGGAAGGAAGGAAAAAAGAAAGAATGTCACATAAATTAAATGGTTTAATTTTCACAATAATTCTATGAATAGTACCCTGTTTTCCGAAAATAAGACAGTGTCTTATATTAATTTTTGCTCCCAAAGATGCGCTAGGTCTTACTTTCAAGGGATGTCTTATTTTTTCAAGAAGAAGAATACGGTACACTTTTTTTTAAATATATATATATATTTTATTGATTTTTTACAGAGAGGAAGGTAGAGAGATAGAGAGTCAGAAACATCGATGAGAGAGAAACATCGATCAGCTGCCTCTTGCACACCCCCTACTGGGGATGTGCCCGCACCCAAGGTACATGCCCTTGACCAGAATCGAACCCGGGACCCTTCAGTCCATAGGCCGACGCTTTATCCACTGAGCCAAACCAGTTTTGGCGAAGACCACATTTATTGTTAAATGAAAATAAAGGAAATTTATTACCTGTATATGGTATGGTAGTACGGTAGTTGTCAACACAAACCAGATAAACTGTGAATCCTACAGTATCAAGAATTTACTCATTTATTCAATGATAATCATGTCATCATCTTCTGGAACATCATCATAACAATCCAATTTCTGAATTTCCTGGTGAATTTCTTGTGACCCCATTTCTTTCAGAATCAGTGGACCAAATCTCTCATGTTTAACCTCAGGGGGCCTTATTTTAGGGGGATGCATTATATTTCACTCAGAAGGAAACCTGTAAATAGGTCTTATTTTCGGAGGATGTCTTATTTTCAGGGAAACACAGTAGGTACTGTTTTTAATCACATTTTAAAGAAGGAAACGAGTCAGGTTGGATTTAAAAAATTGACAGAATGTTTTTCGAAGTTTGTAAGCAATAGGGCAATGATTCAAACCCACAAACATGGGCTTCAGAGCTTCTGTGCTACTTGGCCTCTTTCTTCAGTGGCACCTGCCCTCAGATTCCTGTCTCTCCTCACAGACACATTCCCATGGGCTTTCCGGAAATTCATTCTCACACTAATTGGAGTTGGAGCTATCCAACTCACCCTCACCACTTACTTTCAAAGCAGTGCCCCATACTTCAAAGTACTTCATTATCACCGCCTATTAGTTTCCCATGATTGCCCTAAAAAAATTACCACAGATTTTGTTACTTAAAAGGACACAAATTAATTATCTTGTACCTCTGTAGGACAGAAGTCCAACGTAGTCTCACTGGGTTCTAGGAGGCTCTGGGTGGAATTCATTTCCTTGCCTTGTCCAGTTCCCAGAGGCTTCTTGCATTCCATGCCTTGTGATCCCATCATCCATCTTTCAAACCAGCATGGCGACAGAGAACTGCTCTGCATTGTGCACTGCATCTTTCTGAATTCTATGTCCATCATCACATCCCCTTCCCTGACTCTCTTCTCACGCCCTCTTCACTTTTCATTATATGGGGCCTACCTGGACAATCCAGGTTAAGATAGGGTAACCTGACTATTTATTTAAACATCAGCTGCTTAGCAACGTTCATTCCATCTACAGCCTCAATTTCTCTTTACCATGAAATCTAACATATAACATACTCACTGGTTCTAGGGTCCATTATTCTACTTACCACAATGGCCCATTTAAAAGTTAGCAAACTGCCTGGTTGGCATGCCTCAGTGGTTGAGTGTCAACCTATGAACAAAAAGGTCACAGTTGGGTTCCCAGTCAGGGCACATGCTCAGGTTGTGAGCTCCATCCCCAGCATGGGTTATTCAGGAGGCAGCCAATCAATGATTCTCTCTCATCACTGATGTTTCTATCTCTTCCACTCTCTCCCTTCCTCTCTGAAATCAATAAAATTATATTAAAAAAAATAAAAGTTAGCAAGGCAAATTAATCAATGGAATTTAAACTAATATGGGGAAAAACACTAACCTATTGAATTATAAATCTTGGGAAAGAGGAAAATATGAGCAGACTTGGGGCAGATGGTTCTTCTCCTTGGACACTACAGTGGCCCACATCATGGGTGCACAGAGTTCTTTCAGCTTCCAGCATGTCCCACAGGCCCACTCCCCTTTTTGATGGATGAGGAGATCCAAGACTCTTAAAATGTACTTGTTCTGAGATCCATTCCCTTGGGACATGTAAATATATGTATGATAAATTTATTAAAAACAGAATCTCTAAATTTCTGTCACTTGGGACTCACAGGTCATTATTTAATCCAAGTTTCAGTAAAACAGTCTGTTGTGGAGATTAAATAAGCATAAGCATGTAAAACTCTTACCAAAACATGTGGCAAGTACTAGGTTACTAATGCGGATTTTGTAATCAAAGAAAACACGATAATTTCAAGAGAAACATCAAAGTGCTTTATTCAAAGCAATGCCCATTGCTAGCTACACATTTACCCCATCTTTTAGTAATTTGTGGATACCGTCCCAATAGCACTTGTCTTGTATTGAGGCTAACGATTCAGAGACCCAATTTTCCACTTCTTCGTACCTTCTGAAGTGCTGTTCAGAAAGTGCCATGGATCGGAACAAGTGGTAATCTGAAGGAGCAAGGTCTGGTGAATACAGTGGGTGGGTTAATACTTCCCAGGCAAGATTTTTTAATGTGTCTTTAACTGGTTTTGAAGTATGTAATGGTGCATCATCATGAAGCAAAATTACTTTGCCATGTCTTCTGGCACATTCTGGTAGTTTCATGATCAAAGCCTGGTTCAAAATTGATTATTTGTTGTTGGTAGTGATCAGTATTAATGATTTAACCTTGTTTTAGAAACTCATAATACACCACATCTTTTTGATCCCACCAAACTCAGAGCATTGTCTTCTTTCCGAAGCGATTTGGCCTTGATATTGATGGTTGACCTGGATCAACCCGTGATTTTGCATGTATGGGATTCTCAAAATAAATCTACTCTTCATCACAGTCATAATTAGATCCAAAAAAGACTTTCTTTGGTGCCATTGAAGCAACATTTCACTGATGACTCTTTGGTTTTCCATTTGTCTTTCATTCAGTTAATGTGGCACCCATTTTCCTTCTTTTAAAATCTTTCCCATTGCTTGTAAATGATCAGAAATTGTTTGCTGAGCAATGTTTAATCTTTCTGCAAGTTGTTTTTTAGTTTGACATGCATCATCATCCAACAGTGCTTGTAATTTTTGGTCTTCAAACTTTTTCGGTTGACCTGCATGTTCTTTATCTTTCACATCAAAATCATCACTTTCAAAGTGTTTAAACCAGTGTTGACAAGTATCTTGAGATGGAGCATGTTCACTACAAGCTTCCCAAAGTATAAAACAACTTTTTCTATGAATTAAAACTTCCTGCAAATGCTCTTTTTTTGGCACAAAAATCAACATTTTTAAGCATAAAAATATCTATGATGTTAACACCTTCAGCAAATTTGACATGAAGTTTTGAAGCTTGCTGTCAATACAACAAAATAGCATGCATATTAAATCACATATATATCAACATATGTGTAACTCCATCTATTGAAAAAAATCTGCATTAGTAACTAGTACACCTAGTAAGTGAGCACCCTAGTAGTAGTAGTCATCACAGTCACCCGTGTTGGAGGTGATGTCATAGGTAATGTCTTACTAGGTGTCTTCTAAAGAAGCACAGTGGCCTCATGCTTGGTTTCAGTTCCACTGTGTGAGCCCTCGGGTTTTGAGCCACATCACTGAAAGGCATGGCAGTTAGAGAGTGCATGTACCCCTCTCCACTACACCCCCCCCCACACCCATAGATGCGCGCACACACACTCACACACACACACACACACACACACACACACACACACTTTCACATCAACCAGAACAACTTGTTAACATATGTTTTGTATATTGTGCTCTGCATTCATAGAAATAAAAATATTTGCAGCTTTAAAATCAAAGGTTGAAAACCAGTGTTCTCTCTGAAGGAAATGTCTCATCAAGGTGGAAGAGTGATAGGTCTCAGGAGTGTTTGGGGAGGCTGCTCCCCCAAACCTGACCATATGGGCAGCTGCTCACTCTGTTGTAGCTGATGTCAGGCTGGTCTTGTGGGAGAAGAAACAGACCTAATACGTACCTGCTTCGGAGAACACCTCTAACTGCCCCTCAGAGTCATATAAAGCTTAACTATTCTTTGCCTTCATGAAAAACAAACAAACAACAACAACAAAACCAGCTACCTGGAATTGGGAGGAAGAAATGTTTTACATTTAAGATGTTTCCAAATTGGTGTTCTTTATTTCATTTTAGGGAACAACTAGTGTCTTTTCCATCCTCATTCAGCAATTACTTCCTTTGCAAACATCAGTGTTTGTTTTTTGTTTTTGTTTTCATATATGGAGGATTGTGTATGAATGATAGAACCCAAAATAATCCTCGCTGTTCTCAAAGAGAACATGCTCTATTGATATTTTTAGCAAATTGTTAAATGAATGTTAATCACCAATTTCTCTTCACTCTTTTTCCTCTTTCAGGTACTTGAAGTAAAGCTACTTGATCAAACATCCGATAGTCACAAATTTGAAACCATACGTCTGAATCCCAGCACATAGTAAAAAGAGAAGACAACACTGATCATTATACCTGTCAAGAAGCTGTGAACGCGTGGTGTGTAAATTCTTTACCAAGGCACCTCGACACCTTCTTTATCTGGGCTGCACCCGGGCTGCCTGCTGCTCTTCACACACACAGACCTTCCGTTCACTGCAGTGGGAATCCTCTGTGTGCCATGGAGAGGTTTTCCCGTCTGCAGACTGAAATAGTGTAAAAATAAAGTCCATGACTTTCAGATTAATCACCAGGGCCAGGATTAAGTAAACCTTGGGTCTATAGTTTTCCCAGAGATGAACAAAACCCTCATTAAGCTATAGTTCAAACTGCATCAGTTCAATATTGTCACCACTTAAAACCTACACATTGCCCCTTACCCTGACCTGTTTCACGTCCATATTGCTGAGCTGTCAGAATTAGAAATTCAGTTAATTGCAAAGTCAACATCTTTTGCCCTTCTTGAAAACAAGTGATTATACTATATTTATACACTCTTCAGGTTCTTGAAGCAATTGGCTTTTTATTTTGTTTCCTTGAATTTTATTATGCATTAATAGAGTAGGCTGATATAGCTTAACCTTTAGTTTGCTAGAAGCAAGGATAGAAAAATCTAGTACTGTAATTTTTTTTTAATTTAAGCATTGCTTGTAGCTATTATTAATTCAGCAGAATATAATGTATATTTATTCCACAAAATATATATTATTAGAGTGTATTTGTTACAAACTTAGGTCTTTCCTTACCAAATATTATGAATCTGGTAAGAGAATATTATTAGCAAAGGACCTGGTTTCATGAACTGATCCTCATATGATATTTATATATAACCCTGCCCTCAATATTATTTTTTGGTTTTATATTTTTGATTGATAGGCTCTAGAGAAATCTACACTCTTTCTGCCTACATTGATGTGCTGTAATAGAAGTCTATTTGATATTTTAAAGCTTACAGCTTTAACAAAAACTAAATTATAATACGTGTGCGTGTATATATAAACAAATATGTATGTCATACAAAGTTTACATAAATTTCTTCAATTATAAAATGGAGATTTTTGGCAATCTATGATCCAAAGTATTATCCCTTCTAAAATTAGGCATATGCGAACCAGTGATACTAATATTGTGAATGAAAAGACACTGCTGCTTCTAGGGGGTAAAGATACCGCCTTCATTCCACAATTCATGTAAGTAAATAGACAATGAGGTAATCATCTTTCAGAATCTATAATTTACTGGAAAATGACCTGTTAGAGCCACATGTACAGGTTATAACTTTTTAGCTTATGGTAAACCTAGGCACATAAGTCTGGTTTTACTCTATGGAATGAATAGGGAGCAATAATTATTTGGGCATTTAAATATCTTAAGCACACAAGGGTACCTGAAAAAAGAATAAATATCCAGTAGAAGTATTCTAGGTAGATCATTAAAACTGAGGCAAGTATTTGAATATCCCCTCTTCTCAAATGCAGAAATTGATCACCAAAGGTAAAATAGAATTCTCACATTTTAGACAGCCCTCCAAATCAAAAATCTATAAAGCTCAGTTTAGGAACTGTTTTCAAGAAGATAAACAAATCAGGATTACCCCACACATTTTAGTTTGCCCTGTCAGGTGACGATGTCCTCAATGCCAAGTTCTGCCTACTCTTCATAGCCCATCACCCAACAGAGGATAAACAGCAAAGAAACTAGGAGTTATACCAACTTCAACAAGATTCTGCTGTAGTAACAGATTCTCAGGCTTAAAAACATCATTTTTTACTAGACAGAGCTGGGTGGAGGGCAAGGCTAAGGACTCTGAATATTGTGTAAAATAGGTTTGCAAAAGAAATAAGCATGACTAAAGAGAACAAATGGAGACCACTTGAGTATTATTCAGTTTGAAAGAGATAGTTCTCATTTTTATAGGAAAAGTTTAATAAAACATATATTTTAGTTATCATTTAACAAAGAAATATTAAAGGTATTCAGGCAATGCCACTGATTCTCAGAAAGAGAAGTCATTGAACCTTTGTAATGAGGAAATGGTCATTTCAACACATTTTAATACATTGTATAAATTTGGAGCTTAAGGTATGTTTTTATTTAGCTGTATTTGGTTAATGTTAAATTATCATGTTTTAACATCAATATACATATTTTCATGGAGTTACAGAACAATTAACAAATGAGCAGATACCTTACATTTGTGTTTTCTAGAAGTTTTTGTATTTTTGTGCTTCATTTGCATAAAGATAAATGCTAATACATTTTTGCCAGGCCCTTTGTCACAGTGGATGGGCAATCCATCACACGTAAGACATTTAAGAACAAAGTACATATCCCAGTGTTCCTGCATACAAGTGTCCAATCAAATGGACACATTTCTTTAGTAAAATCTAGTTGTTGAAATGTAAATCTTCCCCTAAAGTTTTAGTCAAAAGTAACTACGCCCAAGACTTAAAGAGGGGAGGGGAAAAATAAAAGCTCAACCGGTGTGTTTCAGTGGTTGAGCATCAATCCATGAACCAAGAGATCATCAGTTTGATTCCTGGTCAGGGCACAGGTCCAGGTTAAGGGTTTTATCCCCAGTTGGGGACATGCAGGAGGCAGCTGATTGATGTTTCTCTCTCATCAGTGTCTCTGTCTCTCTGTTCCTCTCCCTTTCTCTCTAAAATCAATAAAAACATGTTATTAAAAAGCAAAAGACTTAGAACACTTGTGGTTCTCTAAAGTCTCCCTGAACCTATAGGGAATGGAAAAAATGACAACTTGTCTTAATTCTCTTTATTATTAATGATCATGTTAATCACTATTCTTATGTCCAAAATCATATTAAAGATATAATAGTTACTCTTACTTGAAGCTCAGTTTCTAATATAATAAACAAATTAGATATTAAAAGTTAAGGGAGTAGGGGATCTGTTGTTACTATTCATCAGTGATCCCAGTGAATTTTAGTTCTTTCTCTCGGTTAGGTTGGTGGCTGGATTTTTCTAAACTCTTTTTTTGTTTGTTTGTTTGTTTTTACTTTGAAAGCAAGTACATGTACCCAAACTTTTTCACGGGGCATTTATGTTTTAATTCTGATACCATTTGAAATTGAAATAGAACATCCTTGGGGAGTTAATGAGTTCAAATTACAATTGACTTTGGAAAGAATAAAAGACTTTCCATGCTTCATGTAATCAATAGGAAATTCTCTATGTGAATTTTGTAAGACAATGCTAAGATTTAAATACAAAAAGTTGGGACTTCAAAGCTGGCTCTAAAGAACTTGCTTAGAGATGAATCACACCAGTTTACAAATTCAGTTTTCAACCAGGACAAATCAAACGGGTCTGACAACAGTTTATTTAACTCAGTAGTGTCTGTAGGACTCTAAGACATTGTTATGTTTTGTGGACATTATTTTAAACATCTATAGATGTTTGTGGGTATGTGAATAATACCTGAATTTCTCAACTTCTAGCTAGTTTGTGTTTATCCTACAGACTCAGCCGGTTAGACCAGCTGTAGAAAGCATTGCAGAGTGAAAATCAACACTCTAGGATTCAGGAGGCCAACTTAAGGCAACATCTCCCCAATCTTGGGATAGTCCTACCCATCTCGACTCTTCTCGATCAAGGACTCAATGAGAAAGGACTGTCACTGTCTTGTGGACTGCCTTATTCCTGGCATCTGATATATAAGGTCTGGCACAATGTAGGCAATCAATATTCATTGAATGAATGAATGACAGAACAGGTGAATACACAAATAAATAAATTTTCCTCTGATCACTTGAAAATGTTTACCAACTTACACAAATTAACACTATAATTTAAGAATTTCATAGTGATAATTAGAATTGACTCTTCATAAATATTTTCCAGATATATGAGATGGGAATCAATTACTTTGAAGGCATTAAGTATTTGAGGACTCAAATGATTTGGGGACTCAGAGTTTTTATAATGAGTAAAATTCAACCTTTCTAGTTCTTTATGAAAGAACCTTAGCAAGGATAATCTAAACATGGAATTTCATTAATAAATTTTATAAAACATATGTTTTTATTTTAAAAAAATAAGAAAAGTTACATCATCAAACATATTGTCAATATCCCCTTTGATATTTATTAACTTTTTTCTAAGGAGTTCATAGTAAGTGATGTTACCATCCCTAAATCTTGTCTTGCTTTCACAAGATCACTCTCATATTTGGTTTCTAGAATGTACCTGAATTTAAGATTAATCACACAACTATTAAGACTTTTTCATGTGTTTATTTACTTACCAAATGTCCATTGTGTAATTAATATGTAGTTGATACTGGAAATACGTGGCTAATAAGACAGACACAGTGCCCTCATGGAGCTTACTGTGAGGAACTACTCAACACTTACACTAGCAATAACTAGAGTTTCCTATTCATCAGGTTCCTTGATAAAGAAACTAAAATCCCTAACCTCATGCAAATCATGAATACTTCGTGCACGTATTCCTGAGCTGGGTTTTCTAAACACACCACTCAAAATGCTGCTTAGTTTATCCATACACCATCCCAATATGCCAATGAGGTATGTAAGTATAATTTACTCAGAACTAACATTTAGCTCCTACTGGGTTCTACTGTGCTCAGTAGTTTCATAAACTTTCTATTGAATCCCTTCAACAATTCTATTAAGTAGGTTCCATTTTATAGACAAGAAAACTGAAGCACAGTATGTGACTTATTCAAGGTCGCACAACTAGCAGGTGGAATTAGGATTTGAACCCATACACTGTAACACAGGAGCTCATGTATCTAACCATAATCTGTGGTTTGGGGGACACCTTTACATTAAAATAAACGAGTCACTGTATATAAAATATTTTGAAATTGTAAAGTAGTATACAAAAAGATATTTGTAAAGTATTTAGAGTCAACAAACCATGTAAGTGGCAGAAACAAAACGCAATCTTATGGTGTAGCTTCCTCTCATGAACACTTCAAGCCAGGGTAGTGGATAAAAGTACAGGTTCAGAAAACTAAAAATATTCTAATGATTTTTTAGAATTATTGGTTGTTAGCTACTGTGTCTATTTGGTGCTACAAAAAAAAACAAAAACAAAAACAAACAAAAAAAAAAAACCCTGAAAGAAACAAAATCCCTTGCTACAAGGGTTTATAATAAATACACAGTGTGAAGAAGAACCAAGGATAGTTCATATTTATAGGGAAAGATGGGCAGTAGTACTATTTTCTCACCATTGCATGTGATTGTGTCTTTCCAATTGTTTTTATTATTTTTCTGAAAGAGCTGCAAAAATGTGCGGTGGTTCAACCTGACCAAAGTGGTATTATGCTGCTGGGAAGTAAAAATATTAAACACTAGACTGGAAGTACTGTCTTCATTGTCAAATGACTTTAATTTCTTTTAAAGCATAGATGTAAAAGGATTTTTAGATGCTGAAGGCACCTGGACACCAAGTTTCGTATCCAATGTGTTTCTCTATTCCAAACCATAGCGTGGGGTCATACTATTGAGTGGTTAGGTTCTGAAGCCAATATGAAAATCAAACTTCAGGTTGGCCTGACTACAATTTAGTACATCAATGTCCATACTTCCAGAGGCTAGCAGGAAATGATACCTTTTGTGGGAAATATAAACTCATGGTTCCCTATCATTGACTCATAAAGAGGAATTGCATGCATTATTTAAATTTGTTCTCTCTTTGCCCCTCTCAGTTAAATGGGCATGTGATGCAACTTAAATGCTGTTGCATATTGGAGGAAGCAAGGAGTAGTCTTAAGATAACTTTTTATCCCATTCTTTCCTACTACCAATTAGACCCTTCTAATAGTTAATGTTTTAGGAATTTATACACTAGAGGATAAATTAAAATGCCTATGTTTAAAAATCATACTTGTTGACTTCTCTCTGTCTCCCTTTTGACAACTTTATTTCCACAGATATTACCATTCTCTGCACAAATGTAGTCTTCCTTCTCACTTTCATTCACATCAATTCTTAGATTCTTTACATTTTATCTTGACAAAGTCTCTTGAAACTGTATTCTCTTATTCATTTCACTAGTTCTGCACCCTACTAGAATTCTTGTGAGTTTTTATCTATTTTCCTAATTACATCATTTCTCTTTGTTTTTCCTACATATTCATGCTAGATAAATCCCCCTAAAGCTATTCCTTTACACACATCAGATTCTTAGTCAAGATTCTCTGAACCAAAACACTAGTATGGTATTGGGGACATTATAGTGTCCTATCCACAAGTACAACATACAGAACAGGAAATGTGATGCTATTAAAATCTGGTCATTGGACTGTGAAATACCTATCATGAGATTCCATGACACTGAAAATGTCACAAGTTGAAGAAATTAAATACTATGAGAGAATAACAGTGTCGTATGGTGAAGATATCTACCAAAACTGCATCTGATTATAACCCACCAACTCCAAAGTATTTGCTTGGTGTGTGGGGGGTAGCAGGGAGGAGAAGGGTGTGTGAATATGTGGGGATAGGCAAATGTGCTAACATTAGGAAAAGGTATAGTTTATGATGTGTATTTTTCTTCTACATAGCATTGCTCTTTTAGCCTTCCTGTTCTATCTTGCAGTTTAAGGTGGCCACTATCTATTCCTGAAAACTGCCCCAAATTTCCTGCTCCTGAGGTTTTGATTATTTCTGTAATGCCTCTTTCCTTACCTTATGTCTGCCTGAAAAATATCTTCAATTTTAAAAGCCAATTTCCAATGATACCTCTTCCAAGAAGCTTTTTCTAATTTTTCCAGGGCTGATGTTATCTAACCCATCATCAATTCCCATTGTGATATTTTAGCCTTTCTTTAGGTCTTTTTCTTAGCTTGTCTTATAGTATACCCATTTGTATCTTTACATTCATCAGTTCCCCTGCAGTAATTAATTATGCATGGAATGAGTGCTTAATATTTCTAAATGGAACTACCTTTCACTTGTCAACTTCACAGAATGGCTTATGGTTATTTTAGGATCTATCTCAGTTCTCTGTAGCTCACACAAGAAGTTCATTTGAATAGAGAACTCAACACTAGATATTTTTAGAGGCAAAAAGAGCTTGAATTGTGGAATATTATGATTTTAAACAAAAAATAAAGATAAAAATGTGATATTTATAAACCAAACAAATTCAACATCTAACATAAATATGGTATTAATTCTCCCTCCAACCCCCACAAGGATAGGAAACACAACATCCTAACGGAAAATTCCCACAAATGAACTAAGATGCACTTTTTTCATTCTTTAAGTTAAAGTAATTACAAATAGAACTTCAAGAATTATTCTACATGAACACAACACAATTTCAGAGTCTAATTGCAACCTGTCGAATAAAACTTGGTTCCCGTGGGTGTTCATTTATTAACTGCATTGTTGTGTCTAAAAAGACTGCAAGAGTGAGAGGTTGACAAGCTCCCACAGGAGACCCATAGAGGGTCTGTACTTGGATTTTTTTAATTATAACTTCCCAGCATCTGGG